AAACTAACTCGACAAAATTTTAAGTCAGAATAACAAAATTATAGTATAGTATAATTATAGTATAATTATAGTATATTCCAAACATAAATTATTTTAGGTCAGAAAAAAAATCTTCCCAAATTATTTTCTCAGTGGCCCAGTTCCCAAAGAATAAACTTATGATCATGAAACTTTTTTTCTTGGCAGAAGACAGTAAATTCTTCAAATAAACAAAATAACTGTATTGTTTAATAATACCATAAAAAGACTCATTCATACTTTCAGAAAATAAAGTAATTCAATTTATGATTTGGTAAAAGTGTTTATGAGTGGGCGTCATCTGCAGTTTATCAGATTACAATTAGGAAGGATTATGCACCAAAGAGGGGATTTAGAAAATAATACAATAAGACTAAGATCCAACCCACCGAAATTTATACGAAGGTTAAAGAAAACAAGGACTCAGTCGTTTTTATTAGGGAAATCTGTTCTATGATAAATAAGCAATTCCTAGGTGAGAAGCCAGAGTATCATTCCACTTCATGTTCTCAACTTGGACATTTTTAAATTTTGTGCTCCAAGCTGTTCCTATCATCTCACAAATACAAAAAAAAAATTAGAAGGGTACTAGACAGGGTACCTGAGGAATTTAATTTTGAAAGAGGTTTACCACAGTGATGCATTAGTGCAGTACTGTGATATGAAATCAGAACGAATCTGGGACTGAAAAGGCATCAGAGTGGCATCACCTGAAACTGAGTTGATTCCGAGAAGGAAAACAAACTGAATGACTCACCAGTGTAAACACCCTGCAACCAGCACGCATCGTCGGCAAGTTTAACGCGAGTGGTCATGATAAACCTAACACCCAGGTAACATGCTGTGTTACCTGTGTCTAGTGACCCACGTTCCGAGAAACCACGGTGACGGCCAAGAAGTAGAACCGTTTTGTTTTATCCTGCATTTATTTAAGCAAACCAAATGTGTAGAGATAGATAGGAAATGAACGCGTTATAATGTTTTACAAATACAGAATAGAAGACCCTGAAGGGAGTGCGTGTGAGAGCACAGTTCTATCACAGGAGAACATCTGCACGGACCATGGGAAGGCTACACCCCACACGTCCATCTATCGGTCCCATTCTGACATCATTCAAATAATTTCGATAAGCAATTTGCTTTCAGACAAATACTAATACTACTGAGGATGGTAGTCTCAAAGGGTTTGTGAGTGAACCACACTATACATACGGGATGCTAGGCTTAAGGTGTTGTCCAATGTCTTTGTACATTATGCGGGGGGAATAATGTCTTGTTACACATTTACTGTGACATCCACAAAAATGTGAACTCATTTGCATAGGTTAGTCCTTTGGGCAGCATTACCTTTCTCTAGTTCACCAAGGCTTAAAGATTCACAGTGTAGAGGAAAAAAACATGAATTAAAGCATTTCTACTAAAATAGATTTTAATAGCTGGTGTTAACAATTTGCATAACAAAAGCCAAATTATATTAATAACATCGTATCATCCTGTAAGCCCCTTCATTTGCAAAGTATTAAATGTTTCCTTCAAAACTGTTAATGCTCTCCAACTTAGTACACTCTTACAAGTTAACCATCAACCATAATTGTACATATTTTGACGCAAACAGAAAGCAAACCACAACAGTTCAAATTGGCATTTTTATCACAGGTCAAAGACCAATAGTTCCACACGTATCATGCCTGTCAGACTTGGTGCTGGTTCTAAAATGCTCTGCAATTCACTGTATGGACATTAAAGAATGGAATTGTGATGCAGTTTTCTCTTTCTCCTTTAAAATAAATTCTGAACAGCAAGTGGATTGCAAGGGGGGGCATTATGCAAACTGGATTCCATATATCAAACGCAAAAAAGCACATGAAGTTTCCATGAATATAATGGAGGAATATGGACAACCAGGGAGGAGACCCACCTGTGGGTTCCACTAGTCTAAGCATTGTGGATGGCAATGTCTTGACTTTGTCTTGGCTTTTTTTGATCATCAGTAGTTGCTAGTTAGTTGCCTAGAAAGGGTCCTAACAGGCATGAAATACTTGAGAAAGAGACTTACATTTTAGCAAACAAGTTGGTTTACATAGCTTCTTCCTTAACTAAAGCTTTATTATCCTTATGCCAGAGTACCCATGGCTACCAACTGGCCACTGTCAGATTATCAGAAGCAAAAGCTAAGGTGAAATTAACTCGTGAAGTGAAATTCATCTTACATAGTGAATTCAGCCTTGTCACATAATTATTCTATCATACAATACATATTTTAAATCCCAAACCTAAGGTTTAATGTTTATACATCTCAACTATATATAAATCCACAAAGAACTTTTCAGAAACATATGAAAGAAGTCAGCATTTTCTAAAGTTCTAAACCTTTAATGGTAAAATAAAATCAGCTATCACCTGTAATATCTGTCAGGAACATCCCTCAAAACCACCCCAAAAATACCAACCATGTATAATAAAATATTACTATAGAATAGGCAGAAACTTGCTTGCTTGGTTTTTTCCCAAGACCATAATAGATAAACAAGGGTAATCAAAAAGGCACCTATCTTTGTATAATATATTTGTAGTATAATTTTGGTATAAACTATATCTACTATATATTGGGATGTTAGTAAAGATCACTCCCGTTTTCTTTATCTTTTCATTAAAAACATTCTACTGAAGTTGAATGAACCTGAAAACAAGGTGCACCTCTTAAATTTCTACTCTGTCTTTTAAAAAGAAATATCTTCTTCCTAATTCCCAGAGTGTTAGAAAGCTCAGCACAGAGAGGATCAGGAAAGAAAGACTGTGGTAAAACCGGCAAAAACACACCATTGTCATCATCTTTAAACAATGTACCTCACAGCTAAGGAGGGGTTGGTCTAATCTCATCCGTATTTATACAAGGTACTTATGGAAATTGTGCTTACAAATTCCTGTGTGGTCTATGGAGGTCAAGAGGCGTGGGAAGACGCTGAACCTCCGAGGACAGCTGACAACCAGATAAATATTTCAAACCAGGCTACGCTGCGGATGTGCAAACAATAACAAGAAGACATACAGAATTCATTTGGCCATAGGTTAGAAGTAGCAAGCTTTCTAGAGAACAAGAATTAGCAAAAAACATTTGCTACAAAAACTTAACAACAAAACCAATGTATTCTGTTGTTATTCTTTTCTCAAGAGAAATAAGATCCACATACAGTTCAGTTTTCAGAAACTTTTGAAAATGTTTCCAACAGCTCCTTGTGCTTGGGTCCAGTTTAAGGGCAAATCCAATTTAGGGGTCATGTGCATACTCTCTGTGCTTAGCATATACTGTCTTCTTTAACTTGAGTTTTAAAGGACTTGCTTTTAAACTCTTTCTTAGCTATGAGTGTTGTTTATCAAATTGAAGGCATGTGGGAAGTAGAAAAGCTGCTCGAGGATGTAGGTTTTTTAAATGATGTGATAAAAGTAGCACTTTGATATACACACACACATTTCCTGTATTCTACTGAGATGCTTAGTATCCTGACAAGTGTTAGTAACAATTCCAACACTCTCCAGTTGTAAACCTCAACAGCAGGCAATATGTTGTTCTGCCTAAGTCTTTAGCGAAAATAAATACTCCCTAGTTAAATTCTGATCAGATCTTAATTCCTAAAGGCTTAAACATTTTGCTACACAAATATTTTTTTTTTTTGCTATACAAATATTATGTGTAGCTTAAAGTTGTAGGACACAGTACATATTCCCCAAATATGTACTGACTTTTACATTCATTGAATCTGATTTTAAAATTAGTGGATGAGAAAAGTAGGAAACAACAAGCTACTGCTGGATGGTACCTTTCCTGATTACAAGCATTATTTCAAGTCTGTTGCCTTTCTTCCTGTATATGTGCTGTGTATCAAAATTTGTACCTGTCCTACATTTAGTCTGAAAATTTAATCAACAGTGACTTTTTATATCCATGTACCGAAAATGGTCTGACTGGGTGAAGTATAAAGGCATATTTAGTATAATAAAATTAAGCAGGCTTGTTGCCCTTGGTTTTAATGTACAGATTTTTGCAAAATTAGATCTGTATATAAGACATCAAGACAGATACACACTATAATCAATTTAATCATGACTGGTCATTTAAGTGACAGAAAATCAGGTAAGCTGGTTATCTGGTAATTGATAAAGACCCTTTCCAAAAAATCTCTATTAATTTGCTTGCATTTTTCTCTTTTCAATTTTACATCAGTGCTATGTAGATAGATACAGCTTTAGTATAATGAAGCTTATTTCCTTCTTTAAGCTTAATTAAAGGAAAGTGCAGATTTTCAAAAGTATGTCGCTAACTTTTACAAGGTGTAACTGAACCAGCTTTGGCCTTTAGGCTAGTAAACACTTCAATAAAAAATGTAACAGAATGCTTTGTTAATTTCTTTGAATACACCAAGTAGATACCTAAGAGACATTTTTGTGACTTTGCTGTTCTCAATTTCATCACAATGACACAGTCAGAGCCTACATGAATGCTACCCTGTTGCAAGTCACAATAAAGGGCACAATCAGAAAAACACAGAGTTGCCAATGGACATCAATCTACTGATGACCTTCACTGCAGGCACTGAGCACATCCAGCATGGTTTACACTTGTGGCTGGGAATCTAGCACAAGCCTGCAAAGTCACTCAAAACACGACCATTCGTTTTTTTGAAAACTACCCTGAAAAATCTCTGATGACATTCCTATCTCACCCTCTGAAAGTAATTTAGAAAACAAAAACCAGAGAGTAGAAAGGAAGTTTTCTTGATGAAATCACTCTTAGAGGCTACATTTCCATTCTTGAATCTGAATATCATTTTCCAAAATAAGAAGTCAAATCATCTCTGTGCAAAGCAAACTCATTTGCTGTTTTTTTTCCTAGTTCACTCCAAATTTCATATTTTCATTAGGTCCTGTTAAATTTTCTTTACTTTGAATTCACAAGTGGCATTAAACTAATGAAAGCTGTTCAGTAAGCACCTAAATCACTTATTTATTAGAGTATACATGTATTTCCTAAGATGTCAGGCCTTCGAATCTAGAGTGCGGTACAGCAAGAAAATCTCAAGCAACTTTTAAAGATGTTTTTCTGATGAGCTGCTAACTAGAGGACAGACAGGGCTTGTAGATATCAGCCACGTGGTTTGTGTTAGTAACAGAAGCCAAACCTACAGGACATGCAACAGGGTAAAGACTCCTAGGGAAATAATACAGATGACATTAAACTTTGCCCTTTGCAGAGTAGCTGTGACATTATTTAGTCCTGACATTCTGTGGGACCAGGCATAAACTCGGGTCCAGAGAATATAAATGGAAAGTAGGAGAGGCCTTGGTACAAATGAGACATACACAGACCCCAGTGGCCTCAGGAACAAGGCAATGTCCTGTTCAGTCCCTAAGGCCACCAGTCAGTCAGTGCAACTCTAACCAGACTGTCATTCTGCCACTGCTTACATTTATTATATCAGACAATTTTCACTTGAATTGGAAATTGCCTAATGACTCAAAAGCTAAACAGTTTGTAAGTTACTGGCTGTGTCACTGAGTGAAGAGAACTGGCTTCTGGTTATTCCAAAGGGACAACTAAGAAGTCTCATATACTCGTTACATATAAGGGACAATCAATGTCTCTATTGAAGTCTACAAAAATACATTTTCCGGAAGGGTTCAGGAGCCAATCAAAGGAAATCACAAACACAATTAGCAGCACCAGGCCTCCAGACACCATGTTGTTGTCTACAGGAATTACTGAGAATGCTGCTGTTTTCACTCCAAAGTCATTCCTACTTCCCTGGTACCTTGTGTCTAATTGTCAAAGCAAGGGTACATTATTGGAAAATAACTGCCAAGTTGTCTTAAAAGTATCTTCTAGGTTTTAAAAAGATTAAGTTTAGAATACATTAGAATAAAGCTCAAAGGGCAGGGAGAAAGAATTAATTGACGAATTCAATGTAATTTGCCGGGAGCATGCCCGTCCTCCCGGTCCGCTGCACCGTGCCGTACATCCAGCCATCGTCGATGGGCTGCACGTTGACGATATAGTCGCCATCCCGGAAAGAGACCTCATCTTCGTCCTGGGCACTGTAGTCATACATGGCTCGGTAGGTTCTCTGAGAAAGGAAGAAGGGGTTTAATAACAAACACCAAAGCAGGCACCACCACAAATTCCACTCCCAGCAAGCCAACCCACGCACGCTGTCAGGAAGGGTTTCAAGCAGGCTGTCTTTGAAAATCTATGAATTTATATCTAGTATCCAGGGGCTCAGGGTTTAGCTCAGTGGCACAGCACCTGCCTGGCAAGCACAAAGTCATGAGTTCGATTCCCAGTACCGGAAAAAAAAAAAAAAAAAAAAATCTAGTATCTAACTACCTGTCTTGATCTCAAATTCATTAGTCTAGGGGGGAAAAAAAAACTACAATATTGAAGGGTCAGAGCAGAAATAAAGAAAATACAAGACAAAAATGAAAAATAACAACTATAATAGCTAGCCTGTCATTTGGTAGGCTTTGAAGAGTACAGCCAATTCCTCCAGCTTCAGGTAATCTCAGTCTATGTAGACTCCTCCCTGTTCTGCATTTTTCAGGGAACAAAACCTTCCATAGTGGCAGACAGGTCCAAGTCCCATTGGCTCTCTGTCACAGGTCCCCAGGCAGAGGCAATGAGCTTTGCCCCTCAAAAATATATAAAATATCTGGGAGGCTGAGGCAGGAGGATTGCAAGTTTGAACCACGCCTGGGCAACTTAACAAAACTCTGTCTCAAAATTTTAAAAAAAAGGTGGGCACATATCCCAGTGCAAAAGCCCTAGGTTCAATCTCTAGTAATATACATACATACATGCACATGAAATAAAATCTACAATATGCCCACTTTATGGTTTTTGTATCACAGTGACAAAAATGTGGCATATAGTCTGAGTATTGCAGTATATATAACTAAATCCTTGTTATAATGATCAAATCAGGGTAACTGGCCTATTTACCACCTCAGACATATAATTTCTTTGTGATGGGAACATTCAAAATCCTCTCTATTTGCTATTTGGCTTCATCACTTAAGCTTCATGGGCATTTTCATGAACATCAATGTTAACCTATTCATTCTAGAACCATCAGATAGCTGCAGTTTTTAGGCCCAAATAAAGATCAAAGCTGGCTAATACCAATCATGAAGTGACCATTATGACATTCCACTAACAGATCCCTTGTATGTTTTCTTGTAAGTTTTCTACTTCCTTTGAAAGAGTGCATAGATGGTCACATGGGTTGTTACTTCCCAACCATCGTGTATCCTTTAGCTATGCAGGAAAATGGTCATTATTCAATTCACCTGTTTTCTGCACATCTCTACATTTTGGAGGCACAAGTAGAAGACCTAGAAGGAAGGAACGCTTCAGTGTGACACTTACCAGGTTTGGTGAATGCTGCATAGACCTCATGGAAGACATGCTTGTCTGGTGCATGTACCCGTAGCCTGGGGAATGGCCCTGCTGATAAGCCCCAGGGAGCACAGGTGCTGCACAGAGAACACACACACTTTTTAGTGCCACCTTCCGAAACCCTCCCAAGCCCAAAAGGTGCCTTCCTGCTTGGCTAGAAGCTTCCGAAGCAAAAGGCCATTTTCAGTGTCAAGTGAAATTTGAGCAGTGGCATTATAAGCCATCTTGAGATTAGTCCATATCTCAGGAATTAAGAACATCTATTGAAAATCAGGTTAGCATGCAGTGAATTATATTTTTTTATTTTTGTTATTATGCTGCAGATGCTGTGTTAAAGGAACCTAAGGACAAAACAAACATTTCCTATCATACCTTAACAAAATCATGTTTTTATTTGGCTATGTAATTCTTTCAGGCTTTCTCCAAAAGAAAAACAAAACTGTGAAAGGAATTTAATTGGGTTGCCAAACTAAAGACCTTGCCAATATTCTCGTGGGTATTTTTTTAGGAATGGGTACTTCTGATCTTTAAAGACACACAGCTGATTATTACCTCAACAAAGATGGTAAATACAGCGTATTTTTTCAGCAATTAATAAAAAGTCTATACTCTTTAAAGAATCTTTCTGTAGAACATATGAAATCTTTATATTTTACCATAAGTCAAAGCTAAACAAATGAGATGCATATTTTTTTTACAAACCAGACCACAGAAACCAGACCCCCAGACCACTTACTGAATCTCATAGACTTCATCCTTCTGTTTTAAAGAAAAGTGTCAAAATGGTATTAATTTGGTGTGTGCTCCCCTTCCTATGAATTAGACAGTCAAAAGACACAGTTTTTATTATGAAGAACTCTGGTTTCTAGAGCAATCAACACAGAAGCTAGATAAAAACACACAAAAACCACAGACATCTATGTCTGTGTATGTTTCTCTCAGTATTTAAGTGTTTGTAACCAGAAGCACGAGCTAAAAATGAAGGTATTTTAGTTGCATGCTCCTCTTTATGTTTTGAATAATCACAACACATTGGTAAAAATTGTATGACACATGTACTATTAAATCCATAATAGTTTGCTATTTTTGTTTAATTAGGTTAATTATAGAAAGTAATTATAAGGGGCTGATTCATTCAGGATAGTTTTTTATAATAAAAAGAATAAGCAGATATAATCGGGTGTTATAAATAATATTTTATAAATGACAAATTCATTCTAATGATACACAAGATCATCAATACTTTAAAGACATTTAATCATCAGAATATTTCAAAACCTTAATATATTATCCCAATGATAATGATATTAGGTTGATTAGGTATTCTTTTATTATCTCTTGAGTGACTTTATATTACAATATTGTTACAAATTATATTTAATGTCCAGATACAGCACTGAAGAAAAACAGCCAACATCTTCACTTGGGGTATATTATAAAAACATCACTACACACCAACTAAATCAGAGAAGAGCACTTTTAAGATTATCAACTTAATTTAGGTGTTGAATGTCAAGAGATGTGGAGGATACTGTTCAAATCTACTCACAAAGAAAAATAATGACATTCCCATAAACATGTAGGCTCCTTCCTTCAGTAGCTGAGTAAAGGAGTCTTTTCTGTGTGTTGGAGGCTAAAAGCATTGATCACTAATTTATTTCCTCCTTCACCTCTCAGCAAATATTTATCAGTTAATGTGCACACATAGAGCTTGCCAACTGCCTGTCACACAGCAAGTCTCCCTAGTGGTTAACAATAATTAAGACAGTCCACAATGTTCAAGGCATGGCGGGCATAGAAAGAGTGACAAAAACATAATTGCCCTGTGGCAGCCATAATGGCACCAGCCCACTGGCCCTTTTCCAAATCAAGGAAGTAGCCCTGGCTAATGAGGGCATTTCCAACAGAAGCATAAATCAGCAATGTGGATCACATATCCCATACTGGTAGTCCTGAACTTGTCCTTAACCCATTTAGGCTAATCATTTCTTCATCAATTACCATTGTGTGAATCTATTTATAAAGTTTAAATATTAACACCTTTAATCATTTACTTAAAAAGTAAATTCTAATCCACTGTTGCACCATTTCACTACAAACTTTAAAATTTATGCACAAAGCACAACCATCTTAAAATATCAGAGGGGAAATCTTTCAAGAAAAGACAGTGAAAACTATAAGCTATCTCAGACTCTATAATGCATTACTATTCAGAGTGTAGACATCACAATTCCAGTTTTGTGCCCATAAGTACTGATGATTTAAAAATTGTTGCTCAGCAGGGTTCTCTAATTTTGGCTTTCAAAATACTTATGCCTATTCAGTCGCCAGATGTGCCCGGTAATCTATTGCTGTCAGTATAGCAAGAAATGAAAGTCATGTGTTAATCCTAAATTGGTGTGAGTGAGAAAACAGGGGAGAGGGTTCAGAATGAGATGCTACAGAGTAAATAGAATGCACCAAGCCCTGTCTTCATGCCTTTATTAATTACGCTCATGTCCCTCTCTGGATGAATTACTTAACCCAAGTTCCTTTTGGGTTATAAAACCTAATTATCTGGCATAATAAAAGTTTTTAGGAAGCGCCAATAAAGCTATGAATAATATAAAAATAAAGCTATGAGAGCCCAGAGGGATCAATTTAGTAAAAATAATACCAATTCCAAAAGAGGGGTGAAGACTGTTTGTCTGTCGTTACATTACATGAATGCCTTTTATGTGTGTGCCAGGGGTTGGGGAGGACAGGTAAAACAAGACAAAGGAAATTACAAGCGATGGCTTTGTAAATACAAGTTATTAAAAATTCAGTTGAAAGATAAATCTTCCATGTCTGGGATTTCTTCCATGAAATATGGAATTCGGTTTTGCAAAAGCAAGATGTTAGGCGAACTTTGCAATAAGGACATCTTATACAAGAGAAAAACACATGATGCCCCTTTATTAAACAGTGGTCAGATTTCGTTAGCACTGGTACAGATGGATAGCAACAAAGGTACAATAGTTTTCTAACCCAAGAGTCTTGAATTAGAGTTTTTTTCTGCCATAACATTAAAGCCACACAACGAAAGCTTTCATTATCCTAAGGCAACAACCAAAGACAGAAGTGTGATTCAACTTTCAAGTCACACTGACCAAAGATCTAAAGACCCAAGCACCCAGGCTCTCCTTGTAACATGCTCCAAGAGCTCTAAAACCAAACGTCTCTCCCACGCCCAATGAAGTTCCTCCACAAAAGCCAGCACCAACACTTTCTTTCCAATGTGGATTCATGGGATTGTAGGAGATAAAACTACAATAAAGAAATCAATGAAAATCGTGAAACTGAACGTGAAAGGGGAGAAACAAACATTTTTAAGAGGCTTAAGAAATCTGAAATGGGAAAAGGGAGAGGAAAATGATACGTAAATGTACAAAGATGAAAATAAATGAATTAAAGAAATGCGTCCATAGAAAAGGGGGAAAATTATGCAAAAAGAAGTCTACTTTGGAGGACACACCCAGCACGGGTGAAAGCAGAGGATGAGCATTATTCAAGGATCCGTGGTGTGCCTGGTGCTCTGTATTTTGTTCTTTAATTATCATAACTATTACGTAAAGCGCACACGATGGCCAGGCATGGTGGCACACAGCTGTAATCCCAGCAGTCCAGAGGCTAAGGAAGGAGGATCATCATGAATTCAAGGCCATCCTGACCTACTTAGTGAGGTCCTGTTCCAAAACACAACAACAAAAAAAGCACAGGCTGAAAGCCTAATAAGCAGGACCGTTATCCTCACTAGGGAAGGCACTGTGTAAAAGTCAAGTTAGTGGAGAAAAATAAACGAGTCATTTGTAGGCAAATGGATGCACCTCGAGATCGCAATGTTAAGTGAAATAAATCCGACACACAAGTGCAAACAACAGTTTCTCTTCTACGAGAAAACCCAAAATTTAAATAAAGAGTAAAATAAAGGATACATAGTAGGAAGTAGGGAGGTCTTTTTTCAAATGGGAAGGGGAATAAGAAATGGAAGGGGAAGGGAAGGAAGGAAAACAGGATTTAAAAAGAGAATAAAAGAAAAAATGGGAAAAGGAAAAGGACTGAGTGGGAGGAGCAGGGAGAGATGAGAAGCGAAGGCGACAAAGGAATTAAGCTGTTGTGCGCATGCCCCAACTCCACATAGTAACCGTCGCCACTGTGGTCTGCGAACGTGCTAATGAAAAATGCCTTACTTTGAGCAAGGGAAAAAGGTAAAGGACAAGTATTGACGGCTTGCAGTGACAAGGCAGTTCAATGGATGGCCCAGGTCTCATTAACAAAAAAAAAAAAAAAAAAAAAGACCTGACTACGGATATCAAATCAACTGAGAAAATGATTTGGCATTTTTTTCTCAAGGGTTTACTTTTTAAAAAAAAAAACTCCAGAACAAAAGGAGAAAAATCACCTCTCAGAATTTTTTCCAATAAAGAATACAGGATACAGTGAAATTATTGGCATGGTTTTCTAATATTTGATTTCAGTTTTACCAGTGAATGCACATCAAAGAATGTAATGAGGTTTCATTCTGGTTTTTGGCTTTAAGACAAAGAATCATGATTTAGACAATCGATGAGGAAATATGGAATTGCTAAAAATATGTAAATTCTGCTCCCTTGAAAGTGGATATTATAGGATAGGTGTGTAGCCCAGTGGGACGGCACTTGACTAGCCACTGCAAGGTGTGGGGTTCAATTCCCAGCACTAGGTGTTGGGTGGGGGAGTAAGACAATGGGTATTTGCTGAGCATGGTAGTACACACTGCAATCTTAGCACTCAGGAGGCTGAGGCAGGAGGAGTGCTATGAGGTCAAGGGCAGCTGGACTACACAGCAAGACCCTGTCTACAAAAAAGTGAATATTAAGTAATGAACTTGATCTGAGCTACAGCCTCTCTAGTCTGTGAACAAGGTACTGAGCTAACTGATAAGAAGGTCCTATGATGTGGACCTTTTGGCTCAAATAGCTGTGAAAATGTCATCAAGATTCATGTCAGAATGTGATGTCCTTAGAGCCTCTTCACAAGCCATGAATAAGAACTGAGCCACAAAATTTATGCTTAA